GCCTGCCTGCTGCAGAGGCCAGGGCGGGCTAGAGCTGTGTCAGACCAAGGCTCGCAGCCTCAAGGGAGGCCTCCCCAGCAAGGCGGGGTCACCCCTCCACACCCTCGCAGCGACAGAGGGTGACGGACACCGAAGCCCATCCCAGAGTGGGCGGTCGGCGCCGGTCAGCGCCAAGTCCACCGTGCCCTGTGCCCGTCGACGCGCCGGGCGGGTCGGGGATGCCCTGTGGCTCCTGCCTGGCCTCGGGACCCTGCGGGCTGGGGGCGGCCGCGGGCGGGGCGGCGCAGCCGGCCCACCTGAGGAACATCCGGCAGGCCTTGCAGCTGGTGGTCTTGTCGAACGAGTACATCTGGAAGCTGTGGTGGTTGGCGTTGGCCTTGTCCGGCTTGATGTTGGACCTGGTGCGGGAGAGGCGCCCTGAACCGCCCGGCGGCCCACTCTGCCGGACAGCCCGCTGGACACGGAGCCGGCTCCCCAAGGAAGCACAGGGGCCCCAACACCGTGGATGGTTTGGAGCATCCCGGTACCCCAAGGAGACTCAGGGGCTCCAAAGCCCTGGGCAAACTTGGGGAGGCCCCAACGCCCCAAGCAGAGGCCTCAGGCAGACCCGGTGCCCACGTCAGGACCCTGCCACAATGGCCCACGAGCCTGAGGCGCTGCGGGACCCACTGGCCCCCTTTCTGAAGACAGGCCGGGGCTTCGCTGGGAGGGGCAGCGCGTGCCCCGAGGACCTGGGCGGTGAGCCCCAGGCTCCATGGTGGGGTGTGTCCACCCGCGGCCCTGCTGGGCAGGAGCGTGACCAGCAGCGAGGGCAGTGCTGGGCGGGGAGCAGGGGGCGGCCGAGGAAGGCCTCCTGCCGGGGTCAGAGGCGGCCAGGCGCCCGGGGGCCGCGGGGGTGGCCGGGGTCTCGGCCCGGCCGCGGGCCCACTCACATGGCCATCTCGAACTGCTCCATCCACTTCCGCTTCATGTCCTCCGTCTTGCAGAAGAGCTGGAAGCCCTGCTTCCCTTGCAGGTGCGTGAGGTAGAAGCCGTAGGACCACTGCGGGCGGGCGGGGACGCTGACTGGCCGCGCGATGGCCCGCCCGGCGGCCGCACCGCGGGGGTGCGCTGGCGGTCGGCCACGAGCACCCGCGGGCGGGCACAGCCCTGTGTCGGGCGCGCGTCTGCGTGTGCTCGCTCTGGCAAGATGTGCGGGCGCCCCCACCCATGGGGTGGGTCCCCAGGGAGCCAGGGTTCAGGGGCCTCCCAGCTGTTCCACGCCCTGGCGCACCCACTTTCACTTCCTAAATCTGAGGCTAAAAAATGTTCTCTGCCAGCCAGCGGGGGTGGGGCCCCGGCCGAGGGCCGCCGTGGCCGCCCCTCGGCACCCCCCCCCCAGGCTTCGCAGCAGCAGTCTGGGCCAGGCGTGAGCCAGCGGGGCCCTTCACCCCAGACAGGCGGGGGGCTGGGCTTACCATTTTCCCGTGAGACTGGGAAGCACAAGGGAAGGAAAGGGGACTGGTCAGTAAGAGGCGGGTCCAGCGGCCCAGGACACTGCCCGCCGCTGGCTGCCGGGGTGGGAACCGGGACGACAGCCTCGTTCCCGGAAAGGGAGGGCGGGGTCTGGCGGGGCTCCAGCTGCCTGCCTCTGGGGCCCCGGGGCTCCCGGGGGCTCCTCTGTGCAGGAGGGTTAGGCTGACCACCCCAAAGCCGCCCCAGGGGGTTCGTGCTGGGCCAGCTTCCCACTCTGTAAACCAAAGTCCAGAAACTGGGCTTTGAACATTGCTCCGACCCCCATGCTGACCCTGGGCAGAGGCGCCGCAGAAGCCAAACTGAACCCGGCGTGGCAAAGCTGCCGACCAGCCAACAGGAACCCCAGGCCCCAGCCCC